CAGCAGGTCGAGGCTGCGGTGGCCAGGAGCAGCCACTGCACTCCAGTCTGGGCAACAGAGTGAGACTCCCTCTGACTCAAAAAAAAAAGACACTCCAGACTCACTAGCTCCTGGCAGCCAGCCCCACAGCCACAGGCTGCCCTAGCTCTGCTCCAAGGACCCCCACACCCAACGCCAGCCCGGCCCTCCAGAGCTGTCTATGCTGGGCCTCACCTCCAAGGCCAGCATGGGCAGCGGGAGGGCAGGCAGAGGTGTTCCGCTGTGGCCCCCATCAAGCAGCCCACCAACCTACAAGCCCCCAACACGCACCAGAGCTGCACTGCTCTGACCACGGGAAGGTATGCAGACCCTGGAGAGAGGCGGGGATGGAGCTGTGGCACACCGGAGAGGAAGCCCCTTCCTGCAGAGTTTCTGTGCCTGCCTCTGGGTGGGTCCGGACCCGCAGCAACCTGAGCACATCTCGGAGTGGACATCAAAAATGCTTCGTGGGGCTTAGCACCCCTCCAGTTTTTCCAGAATCTGAAGCAATCACAAAACAGCTTCCCAGATAGGCGGCCTCTCCCCACACAGCACAGGAGGTCTCAGAGGCGAAAGCCCTGGAAACGTGATTCTTCAAGCCTCCCTTTATTTTTTTTATTTTTTATTTGTGTCGGAGTCTCACTATCACCCAGGCTGGAGTGCAGTGGCACACTCACGGTCACCGCAGCCTCGACCTGCTGGGCTCAGGCGATCCTTCCACCTCAGCCTTCCGAGTAGTCAGACTACAGGCGTGCGCCACCACACCTGGCTAATTTTTGAATTATTGTAGAGACAAGGTCTCACCAAGTTGCCCAGGCTGGTCTCCAACCCACGGGCTTAGGCAATTCGCTCGCCTTGGCCTCCCAAAGTACTGAGATTACAAGCTGAGCTACCGAGCCTGTCCTAAGACTCCCTTTAATAAGAATCACACTACCCTATTTCTCCCCTGTAGGACAACTTCACTCAACGTCTGGCCCCTTGGAGCCAGCAGTCACAGGATGGGTGCTCCTTGAGGGTCCTGATGAAGTCCTGTCTTTCAGAGCCCCCACCCCAGCCTAAAGGTCAACCAGCTTGGGCTCCCCATGCATGGCAAGCAGCAGGCCAGGCCAGCAGTCACTGTTTTCTTATTCTACACTACCGCTTCCCAATGGATGCTATGCTCACTTTTCTTCCACCGACTAAGGTTGGAGTGCTTTAAAAGTGATTTCACATGTGTATATAATGGCCTTATTTATACAGAAATGTATATAAATACATATAAAATAGATATAATACATATGTGAACACATACATATAGGTGATCACATATATAAGTAATCATATATACATTTCATATATGAAATATTTTACATATACATGTATGTATACAAATATATACAAAGCAAATATAACTAATGCATACATAAGTGATTATATATGTGATTTTTTTTTCCTTGAGTCAGAGTCTCTGTCGCCCAGGCAGGAGTACAGTGGCATGCTCACGGCCACCGCAGCCTCGACCTGCTGGGCTCAGGTGATCCTTCCACCTCAGCCTTACAAGTAGTTGGAATTACAGGCACGTGCCACCATGCCTGGCTAATTTTTGGATGTATTGTAGAGATGAGGTCTCACCAAGTTACACAGGCTGGTCTCAAACCTGTGGGCTCAGGCAACCCTCTCACCTAGGCCTCCCAAAGTGCGGGGATTATAGGCAAGAGCCACCACACCCAGTCAATTTATGCATACGAGTATATACAAAACACATATAAGCAATGTATACGTAAGTGATTATACATGTGGTCTTATACATAAGCGATAATATGTTGATATATTGATGTAGATGTATATAAACATTTATAAGTATATATTTCTATATGTGATCATACACCTAAGTGATCACGTATACACATATATGAATTGCTTTTGTTTATGTATATAAGTACAGGTAACATGCATCAGTGATCACATATGCATAAGTGATCATGTATGCAAAAGCGGTCATATAGACATAGGTGATTATACAGGCAGACATGATCATATCTGAGTGATCGTGTATGCATGTGTGATCACGTATGCCTACGTGACCTATCTGCGTATGAAGCAACGCCCCCCAGCCTGTGGCCCGGAGACACCACCCTGACTCCTCTCTTCCCTGCCTGGCCTCCCCCCCATACCAGGCCCCAAGGAAAAAACAAAGGGTTCCTTCAAGGTCCCACAAAGTTGCCTCCACCGCAGCTTGAAAGGCAGAGACGGGGCCCCGCGCGCCCCTCCCGCACGGCTGCTGCTGTGTCACCGCCAAGCTGCAGTCACCTGCGGTGCGTGGGGGCGGCCGAGCCCTCCCTCCAGCACGTTTCCTTCTGCTGTTTCATTTCAGGTAGAAAATGCACCTTCTGTTTTAACCAAGGTGTGATCCCCATCCCCCGCCCACGGCCACTCTTTTCTGGAGAACTGGGCGACAGAGGAGAGAGGGCGAAGATGAAGTCCCCAAGGGGGAAGCCGGGAGGGGGGGCGGTTGTGAGGCGCTGCCGGG